CTGCTGCTGCTGCATTGGCTGCATTGGCTGGCTCTGTTGTTGGGGCTGAGTCATCTGCTGCTGACCCATCTGCCCTCCCATTGCCTGCTGCGCAGGCTGCTGCTGCTGCTGCTGCTGCTGCTGTGGCGGCTGCTGCTGCATTGGCATGCCCTGCTGCTGCAGTGCAACAGGCACTGGACTTGGGCTGTGCTGTATTCTCTGCGCCTGCTGCTGCCCTCCAAACTGCTGCTGCTGCACTGGCTGCTGCTGCTGCTGGAGAGGCATGGGTTGAGTGCGGTTCATAAGCCCACCAGGCTGCTGCGTCATGCTGCTAGGCCCCTGCTGCTGCTGCACCTGCTGTGGCTGCATCTCCCCCCCCCATCTGCTGCTGCTGCTGTGCCTGAGCTGGCTGCTGTTGCTGCTGTTGCTGCAGCGGCTGCTGTTGCTGCTGCAGTGTTACTGGCTGCTGTTGTTGCTGCTGCTGCCGCAACTGCTGCTGCTGCATCATAAGCATTCGCTGCTGCTGCTGCTGCTGCTGTTGCATCTGCCCCCCCGGCTGCTGCATCTGCCCTGGCTGCTGCATCTGCCCCGGCTGCTGCTGCTGCTGCGGCTGCTGCTGCTGCTGCTGCCCCCCAACCACTTGCATCGGCCCACCCCCCTGCACTTGACCACTACCCCCCATAGACAGATTACTCTGAGGCAGCTGCCTTACCCCCCCCGGTCCCCCCATGCCGGTGCCTGCCTGCACGGGTGCACCCATCCCGCCTGGGCCTGTAAGGGAGCTGCTAGGAGCCATGGCGCCGGGCTGCTGCTGCTGCTGCCCCATCATCGGCCCTCCTGGTCGCATTGCCTGTTGCGGCTGACCCAGTTGACCTGGTTGACTGGTTTGACCCGGTTGACCTGGCTGTTGCTGCTGCGGGGGATAGCTCATGTTGGCTGGAGATAGAGACGGAGGGAGGTACGGGGTGAGTGATGTGAATGTTATGCATGTGATGTGGTGGCTGCTTTTGCGTCGATTCAAAAATAGGAACGGGTGAGTGAATCTTATGCATGTGTTGTGGTGGCTGTGTTGTGTTGTGATGTAATCTACTCTTCTAGATAGGTAGGTAGGAGGACTGGAAATGAGGAATTGCGATTCGTAGAATTCTGAGGCGCCTCAAAAATTCGTTCTCCCAATACATCCACCCAATTTCAAAATATCCATCACATTCATTCACCCTGTTGTGGACGAGGATGATATGAGTGGATGTGATGAAGAGGGAGCTCCGACACTCCGTTACGTGCTACTTGTTCTTCCTCGGCCCGTCACTCATCTCCTGGCAGTCCAAACGCCAAGCTGTCGTGAAGCTGAATATTATTCTTTAGGCGCCGAGGTGTATGAGGCATTATGGCTTCGTTCCCTCCTTACTGCACTTGGACTTCCCCCAACCGGCCCCACCCCCACTCGTGTGACAACATTAGTGCCATCATTCTCGCCAAGGACGATGACATCTTTCATCCCAAGGCCAAGCACATCAACATCAAGCACCATTTCATTCGTGATCATGTTGCCGACCACTCCGTCACCCTTCACTATGTTCCTACTCAAGACAACCTCGCTGATATTGGCACCAAGCCTTTGCCACACGACCCTTTTCTTCGCATCCGTGCTCTTCTCGGTCTCACCCATGTCTCCACTTGAAGAACCCTCCCCCGGGGACATCCTTGAGGGGGGGTGTTGTGCAGCTAGTATGTCCCAGTGGGTAGAAGTCTCACCTTTGGTCTTAGAGCTCGTGAGTTCAACTCTCAGCAGCTGCACTTTCTCTTCTCATTATGCTCAACATGACATTCCCACGCTCCACCACGGTGAAGTGTGGTTACAGTTGGCATTGCCACCTGTCCACTCATCCCATACTCACTTTGCTGGCCCTTATGGTGTGTCATATGTTGTCATGAGGGCTGTTTTTCCAGCTTGGCCCACATGTGCAACATGTGACCTCTCTTGCTAGCTTGGCAAGGTTAGCTAGCCTTGCACTCAGCTCTGAGGTGTTGCAGCTAGCCTCAAGAGTTCAGCACACATATATGTGGCTTTCTACTTCAGTAGGAATCTAAGACCTTGCTCTAGTCTCTAAATCTTGTTTCATCTTCCTGCTGAAGATATTTTTTTCTTCCTATTGTGCCTCGAGTTCACCGATCCAATTTCTACACACCCCTTACATGCATCACATGCACCCCTTACATGCATCACATTCACCCCTTACATGCATCACATTCACCTCTTACATGCATCACACTCTCACTCTTACATCCACCACACACACTCGACATGACCACACTCCTTCCATGCATCAGCAGTCATTCCGCCAGTGGCAACACACCCTGCAGGCGCCTGGGAGCTCGTGCTTGCACAAACACACTCGAGCAATTCACTCCTTTCGTCCACCACCCCGCCACACAAGCACTCTTACATGCATCAATCCACTCCTTTCGTCCACCACCCCGCCACACAAGCACTCTTACATGCATCAATCCACTCCTTTCGCCCACCACCCCGCCACACAAGCACTCTTACATGCATCAATCCACTCCTTTCGCCCACCACCCCGCCACACAAGCACTCTTACATGCATCAATCCACTCCTTTCGTCCACCATCCCCCCACACAAATACTCTTACATCCTTTCGTCCACCACCGCCCCACACAAAACACACTTACATGCATCAGCGGTCATCCCGCCAGTGGCAACAGACCCTGCAGACGCCTGCGAGCTCGTGCCTGCACCCGCCTGAGCCTGCAGCATGTGGCCCTTGCTCTTGATGTACAGCATCTTCTGGGATATGCGCCACAGGTAGTCGTCCTGAGGTTGGTTTAAGGGGCACAGAACATTAGCGGCGAGAGGGTGAGCGGTACTGTGGCCTCGGAGGGAAAAGGCTGTTGCGCCTTGCAGCCTGCAGCATGTAGCCCTTGCTCTTGATGTAGAGCATCTTCTGGGATATGCGCCACAAGTAGTCGTCCTGAGGTGGTTCGTGGGAGGGGCACATTAGGGGAGAGAGGGTGAGTGGAACTGACAGAGGCCTCGGAGAGAGAAAGCTGATCCGCCTTGCAGCCTGCAGCCTGCGTCATGTGCCCCTTGCTCTTGGTGTAGAGCATCTTCTGGGAGATGCGCCACAGGTAGTCGTCCTGAGATAGAGGAAGGGTATAGATTGAGGGAGAATGGGTGGTGCTCGCTCAAGCCTGCAGCATGTGCCCCTTGCTCTTGGTGTAGAGCATCTTCTGGGATATGCGCCACAGGTAGTCGTCCTGAGATTAGTGGTGGGGAGGAGTGGACATCAAGGGAATGAGTGGTGCTGAGGCCTTCGAGAGAGGGAGGAAGGGAGCTGGTCCGCCCGGCAACCTGCCTCATGCAAGCACCTGATTGGTGGCCGCTGCTCGCTCGCACCTGATTGGTGGCCGAAGCTCGCTCGCACCTGATCGGTGGATGGACGCTGCTCGCTCGCACCTGATCGGTGGCCGCTGCTCGCTCGAACTTGATTGGTGGCCGCTTCTCACTCACACCTGATTGGTGGCCGCTTTTCACTCACACCTGATTGGTGGCCGCTGCTCGCTCGCACCTGATTGGTGGCCGCTGCTCGCTCGCACCTGATTGGTGGCCGCTGCTCGCTCGCACCTGATTGGTGGCCGCTGCTCGCTCGCACCTGATTGGTGGCCGTTGAGAAGATCTTTTGCTCAAACGATGCCGCAACGCGGTGCAGCTCGTTCATGTCCGGAGCTGATGTGAACTTCTGTAGACTCTCCATTCTGCACAGTGTGGTGGCAGGGAGAAGGAGAGGGAGAGGGAGATGGAGAGGGAGAGGGAGAGGGAGAACAAAACATTGTCGGGGGAGCTGATGTGAACTTTCTGCAGACTCTCCATCTGCACGTGTGGAGGAGGGGATGGGCGACGGAGAGGGAGGGGAGAGAGACATGGAAGAACACAGAGTTGACAGACGCAATACGCTCTTGTGGCCACTCTGGCCACTCTTGTAACCGTGGACAGAGTTCATAGACGCAATATGTAGTCACTCTGCATGGAGTGGAAAGAGCTTCTTGCTTCTCTGTCCACGGCTGCCATAGGTTTCCAAAAAGCTCTCTCTTTCCACTCTGCACACAAACGGGAATGCATAATCTGAGTGGAACGGCAGCAAAAGCGGATGACACCACACCACCATTGTGGGTTGTTGCAGATCTGCCGACGCCATAATCGAATAGACTTTTGAGTCGACTCACAAGTCAGCTCGTTTTGAGTCGACTCAAAAGCGGATGACACCACACCACCATAGTGGGTTGTTGCAGATCTGCCGACGTCATAATCGAATAACAGGACATCTGATGACGTCATAGCGGATAGCAGCAAATCTGATGACGGCGGAGTCAGATGACAGCAGAATCTGATGACGTCATGGCGGATAGCAGGAAATCTGATGACGTCATGGCGGATAGCAGGAAACCTGATGACAGCAGAGCCTGATGACGTCATAGTGGACTCTGCGCGGCTATTCTACCCGCGAGTTGGGTCTCCGAATGGCTCTCTCCGCCCTGCACCCGCTTGACAATCCATCCTTGCTATAGCACCGAACCTAAAGTCCAATAACAAGGAACCTGATGACGTCATAGTGGACTCAGTGGCTATTCCGTCTACGAGCTAGGTCTCCAAAAGGCTAAACCTAGTCTGCGAAGCGACACAACGGCGAATGACGGACCTGAAGGCACTAAAGCACTTCAACGAATTCGAACGATTTTCAAGTTGTCTTAAAAAACCGCTCACTAATTGTGACAGCGAATCACGGAGCTGAAGGTTCGTGAGCTCGAGAAGCGAAGAGTCGATCAAACGCGCTTGTATCACTTTTAAAACTTCTCAAAACGTGATGAAACCACACCCTACAAGCGAAGAGCCAACTGAAAAATATTTGTAACCTAAATTCGCCTGTCCGTGGACCCTTCGCTCTCCCAATGGTTCCCATTCTGCACTGCACAGGAGAACGGCATGCTACAACGCACATCTCCAAGTTGCTGTCGTTATGAGTACTGGATGATTCGTACACTCGCTTCAAAAAAGTCGGCGTGCCAGTAAGCAAACGCACATTCGCTTCACCAGAATCTGCCGCTTCTCCCGCGGGAGCCGCGTTCGCCAGTCGGGCTCCGCCGGCGCTGCTTGCTGGCGCATGCCGCCGCCGCCACCTCCGCCGGCGCCGCTCCAGTCGCTTTCCATGCTGGCTCGGCTCGCCGCTAAACGACGCGCCTTTAGGATCGGCTCAAAATCGACGTACTAACGACTCAGTTCAAAATCCACCGCTAACGACGTGCAACAATAGACAGCCGCGCGTAAGCCACTTCAAAGCAACCGGGACGGAAGCAACCCAACTGAAAGCTGCGCGCAGAAACGCCGACGAGAAACTCCGAAGCCTACGCAGACGGATAAGGGCGTGTCCCATGAGTTCATTTGGGGAAAAATCGTCTTTGCTACGTAGCTTTGACAAAGCAGCGAAGTGAGCACTCAGACGAAAAAAAAACGCAGCGCGTCAGCACTGCGCCAACCGAAGTTGCACCTTGCGGACTAATCACCCCGCCCACACAAAATTCGTATCGCGAATCACACTCGACATGTTTCGCGAATGGTAACCCGGGCCAGTTGCGAATAGACTCTGCCAAAATTGGCCGTTCGTGTTTTCTGGGCGAATTCTGAGAGTAGGGTTACGCAGACCTCTTCGAGGTGATGGTACGTACCTTGGAAGCCGTTTTTGAACGCTATTTATACGAACCTTTTGACGCATTCAGCGCGTTAATGTCGTGCGTCATTGAAGACACATGTCTACAGTAGTCCAATATGAAGGGTTACAAAGGCAAACACAGGGTTACAACGGTCAATATGAACAGTAAACGAACTCATGAGACACGCCCTAACTGGGCTTGCAATGACCTAGATATTACAGCGGGTCAAGCTTTGCGGGTTCACAATTTGTACGCGCTATCCAGGCTGGTGAGTGGAGTGGTCCAAAGCGGTGAAACGAACAAAGCGTATCATAGAGGATGTTTGGTTCAACTCGACCTAGCTTGACATGTGATGTGAAGCAAACTCCCCCACACACGCATCCCTGGGATATCCGAACCGAGGCACCATCGCACGCCTTGCGTCTCGCACACCGAATCGACGGACCAGCCGGACCAGTTTCTGGGCCAGCCTCGGACCAGAGTTGAGACCAGCCTGGAGGAGCTCGGACCAGGTCACCAGTGTAAGGAATTTTCTCGGATTCCTTACTTGGTCACACTATATGCTTACAACCCCGATTTTCGGAAAACCAGGCTCGGTCCGCCGACCTCGCCTTCCGAACCACTCGCGCGTCGCCTTCGGGTTTTCCAACCCCGACCCTGCACCCAACCATCTCGCGACCCCGCGACCTCGGCCTAGCTAGCATTGCTATATTAGTTCTAGGCCTCGTTGTTCCCTCGGACGTTGTAATCACTTCCGCGTTATTGAATACTGCGTACTCTTCTCTTTCACAACTCATAACACTTGGTATCATATCTACTTTCCTAGATTACCCTCGCGTTTCCGGGGTAGTTTGTAGAAGGGGAGCGATAGACTTGGTGGGCTGTAAAACGGTCGGCCTGTGAAATAGATACGATTATTTCACACCGACTACGATAGCGTTTACGCCTTCACCGAAGTCAGAAAAATCGCTCGCCGCCCCCTGCCCATTCGACGACGCCTGAGGCACATGGATCAGGCCGAGTTCAACGAGTTCATGCAACAGTTCCGGGCGATGCAGGCCAACTTGCAGACCATGTCTGCGGAGATGGAGCGGAAGGAAAACGCCGAACTACATCAGGCGCGTGGTGAAGCGTGCCAGGAGTTGCCTTTCGTTGAGGACGCAAGTAGCAGCTCCACGCCAGATGAGCGGGTCTGGAGCGAATTAGAAGGCTCCATGGATGCGGATGATGCGAGGCGGGCACAACAGCAACAGTCACCGCAACAGTCGCATGCAGCACCGACACGTGCAGCAGCGACAACTCCGGCGACGATAGCAGCAGCAGCAGCTTCAACAACTGTTAAAATCAAGCCGACAAACCCGCCCCCGTTTAACCCATGTGACAAGTTCGTCACTGTTTCTGAATGGTTGTTCGGAGTGGAGGTGTTTTTTAATGCTGCTATGATTAATGACGATGCCACTCGCATTAACTTCGCAGTTTCACTATTGAGAGGACCCGCGCGGGAGTGGTGGCGACGAACGTTGCAAGACGAAGGGACTTCGGCAGGAATAGCACGTGCGAACGACGGGACTTCGACACATTGTGAAGAAATGAGGAATGAATGAACTAGCAAGCAGGTGGGTACAAGTAGGAAAACCTAAAAGAGTTGTACCCCATATTGTCTACCCCACTACAGCCTACACAGACTATAGCATATGAGTTTGACACACCCCCATAGGCAAAGTGGGGGAGAACAAGAGGTCACAAGACCAGTCAAGCAAAGCAAAGCAAGCTCAGGGTGGATCACAACGTCACCACACAGTCCGAGCACAAGAGCAAGGCCACAAGGCCAGTTCACATACAAGATCATATATAAAGGTAAACAAGCAAGTGCAGGTATAGAAAGATCACAGTACAAGCAAGGTCAAGAAGTGAGCAAGTGAGGCCAAGTAGGCACAAGACCTAGCATCGTACAGAAGCGCTGATGATCACAAGGCGGAAGTGCCTTGGTAAAGATATCAGCAGTGTTGGTCTCAGAGGCCACGTAAGCAAGGCGCAGCTGACCACGCTGCTGCAGCTCACGAGCAAGGAAGTAGCGAAGAGCAATGTGCTTCGTTCTGTGCTCCAGTCTGTGCTCCCGACACAAGGCCAGCATGGCCTTGTTGTCTACGTACAGAACTGGAGGAGAACGAGGCGGCTCTCCTAGGTCAGTCAGCAGGTAGGTGAGCCAGCGTAGCTCCTGTGCGGCCATGGCCCCCGCGTAGATCTCAGCCTCACAGCTGGAGCCGAGAACAGAAGACGAGCGGGTAGACCGCCACGAAACGGAGCCGGAGCCAAGGCTGAAGGTGTAACCCTGTGACGACCGATGCGTAGCCTGGTCGTCAGCCCAAGTAGCGTCTGCGTGACCTGTGAGGACCACTGGACGTCGCCCTCCAAGCACTAGCCCCATGCCCGACGTACTGCACAAGTAGCGCAACACCCTCTTCGCTGCAGCCATGTGCTCTGGTCGGTGTCTCCCAGGAGCAACATAGCGTGCCAAGATGCTAAGAGGGTATGCTAGGTCAGGTCGTGTGCAGGTCATCAGGTACATGAGGCAGCCAACAAGCTCTGGGTACGGGCCACTCGGCTCTACGGACTCATCCGAAGGCAGAGCTGAGAGCGAGTGGCGAGTAGACAGAGGAGTGGCCTGAGGCGAGGAGTACGTGAAGTCGAAGCGCTGAAGGACCTGCTCCACCATGTGTGATTGAGTCAGGGTAATGGTGCGCTGTGCTCTGTCCCGGGTGATCTGCAAGCCAAGGTAGCTGCGCAGTTCACCCAGGTCTGTGCACGTGTGTCTCTTCTGCAGCTCGGACTTCACGTGGGCGAGTCCAGCAGTGTCAGCAGTGGCAAAGACCAAGTCGTCGACGTACACGAGGATGTAGAACGGCGGCAAAGAGGTGTCGGTGCGCAGAAACAGCGACGGGTCGGCAGTAGACGGAGCAAACCCAAGAGCCGCAAGTGTAGTCCTCAGTGTGTCGTGCCACTCACGGGGCGCCTGGCGGAGACCGTAGACTGGCCGCCGGAGGCTCCA